CAGCCCGGAAGACCCACACCAGCCATCATATGCCGGCCATGAAAGCCTTCGACAATACATCCAATAGGAATAATTATCTGTATCTTATTTCCTAATTTTTACATATCATATATTTTCCCCTTACTTACAATATATTCCTTTTACTTATAGTCTTTCAAAATATGAAATAAAATTAATTTAAAAAAGAAAATCAACTGTCATGAAAGTAAACTTCATATGAAAACTGCCATGGTGAACATTGGGCAGGGGTGTCCTTGTGTGTGTGTGTGTGTGTGTAAAAAGAAGAATCAATATGGTAGTCATAATTATATGATCAAAGCTTCATCCTTTTTTAATGTGCATTATGATGCATGTAAAGCAGGACGGGTTGATTGCACATTCTGGCCACCGATTTGACTTGATTTTGACCCCTCTCCCTGCAGACACCACTGATGTTGGGGGATGTTTGGGGGCAAATTGTAATAATTGAGGGCAATCTAATTCTAGAAGCTTTTTCAGAACTAATGTGGAGTTGACATCTCCATGTTGCCAGGGCAACTGCCAGACCTTTTGTTCATGTAACTGAACAAAGTCATAATAACCCTTTAAAGTTTTTCTTTGTGACTGGCTAGGATAGAGAAAAGTCCCCAGATGAGAAAAGACAAATACTGTAATTAAGAGAGCTGGATATTTAAGCTTCCTTGGAAGGTGTTTTGTCTTGAATGGTAGCCTAGGAATATTTTAAAGGGAAATAATTAAATAAAATAAATGTATCTTGCTAGCAGTTTAAATTAAAATACTTTTTATACGTTTATTTCTAGTTGCCAGCTAAAGCTTGCATTTCAACTGAATAAAGAACTTTTGTTAAAATTCACTGTGCTTAGGTACTCATCAATTAGTATTAGTGAGTTCAATAGCATTTGTTCCTAAGTGAAACACACACACACACACACACGTATATCATGATATGCACACTTCATTGTAAGTTGTTTGATTAAAATGTCTGTTTCAACCAAGCACTGAAGGGAGCATTAGAAACAGATCATTCTTCTTTAATGATCTTGTTAACCACTTTGAGTGATAAGTAGAAAAATGAGGAAAATGTTCCAAACAAGTAAAAAATTAGAAGTTTTGTCATCTCCAATATTTGTTGATACTATTAAGACATTGTGATGATAAAGCTTTCTTAATTTGGAGGTCAGGGCATGGTGCTGTGGAAATATTAAACTGAATGGTACCATGTTCTTAAACTGATGGAGAGGACTAAGTTTACCGCAGACCCAAATAGGAGCTCAGGAAGCTGCCAGTAAAGTAGTGGAAGTGAAGAACCTTGAACCAGTCACAGCTGTTGTCTTTGTAGATGCCTTCAACATCAGAGGCTGAGAAATCGGTGGCAGAAACACTGTTTCTACAACACAGCAGGATAAAGAGACATAGGGTTAAACCTAGAAGCTTTCGTATAAATGTAACAGCTAGATTCCTAGCTTCTGCAGGAGTCATGATACGAGCTTATCATTAAAAGTAACAGATTTGAATGTTGTTCTTAATCTTCTGCTCTTAAGCCCAGTTTGTGTTTGTGTGATGGTTATGTTCCTAGAAAGAGATTTTTTTTTTTTTGCTTTCTTGCCATGCCCAAGTGAAGCTCTGATTGACACCAGTATATAGTTGATATAGTTTATTTTTGTTGTCTCCTGGATTTAAATTTGAGACATTCTAAGCTATAATCAAGGTGGTGATTACATGATTGTAGTTGTGTCCCTTTTTTCCATGGTTTATGCATGCATATAAAGAAGGAGTGGAGCTTCAAACATGTGGTTGCAGCCACCGTTTTGACTCACCACCCCAGAAGCTCCTGAGTCCTTTAGCAGGGCAATGATACATGGCTATATCTAAACCAATTTTCCTGCCTGCAGTTACATTGGACTTCCATTCTCATAAAACTGGTAAATTCTAAACCAAAATCTAGTAGGTAGTTCTAATCTAGTAGAACTACCTTGTTGTTGTTTAGTCGTTAAGTCGTGTCCGACTCTTCGTGACCCCATGAACGATATTGCGCCAGGCCTTCCTGTCCTAGAACTACCTACTAGATTTTGGTTTAGAATTTACCA